TTGACATATTTTCTTGTTCTTTTCATTGTCTCCCAAAAAGTTTGCCAATCGCCATACTTTTAGTCAAGTATTCAAATATTTTATTACGCATTCAAGATAGCAGTGAGAGACTGGACTAATCATCCTCTATCACTGGACTCTAAACCGTGTCTAAAAAAATCAGCCTGATTTGCTATGATAAACTGGCAAAACTAGCACCTATGTTCAATCGGTATGTTTGTTGCCTCCAAATCTGATGTTTGTTTTCTGGTGGAACGTCTAGTTTTTGAAAAAGATTTTTACGTTAAAATTAGGTACTTGTCTCCTTCTCTTTTTCTCTCTCTTGCTGTTCGTTTCAGCATTATCATGATGAACGGAGAGAAGCAGAAAGAGAATATATTTTATCGTGTGCAAGTGTTTTTTTCATGCCAAACAAAGAACGAAAGAAGAAAGAAAATATTTTATGAAAATATTTGTAAAATATTCGTTAGCACCTATGTTCAATCGGTAGCAAAACCTATCGAAGTCTCGCTCCGTTGGTTTTTGACTTCAGGTCATTAGATCGGGTAGAACAACGTTTTTTATGCTCACTCTTCGAACTTTCATGCACTTTGGTCATAAAATCAAGGTACTAGAAGTTTTTTTGTTTTAGATCGACTATAGCGGAAAAACTAAATTTTTTGAAAAAATCATTTTTTAGAATGTCTTTAATTCGGACAACAAAACAAACATTGTCAAGAGATTTGCCGTGCCCGAAAACCTATGCACCATGTAGTTTTTGGGCTTTGAGGTTTGGCCAGGTCCTCGGAGATCGTCTGTAGTGCGAGAAGCACGGTAGACCGAGACTTGGCACTTGCGTCAGATTGTAGAGCGACATCTGTCGTACATCTACACATGTGTTTAGAAAAGTACTTTACTATGTAGGCCGTGGATTTCGTTCCGAAAGTGTTGTTGTTTACTGGCAAACAAAAAACCAGTATCTCTGCTGACCGAAAAAATAACGTTACATGTACGTACAAAGGCACATGCATGACGGACGCAGATTTTAACGCTGCTGGTTACATTGACTGGTCAGTGTTTACACAACTATTTACACTCTCGCATTTGAAGATCAGCATACATTTTGTTTTCTCGCACTTATAGAGAGGAGTACGGACATGTTTATATGGATCTAAATAATAAACGCCTCGGGGTAACGAAGGAAGAGGCGACGCTCAGGTAACCGCGCCGCGGTTACTAAAAAATATCCATGTCTATGTAAATGAGATATATACTCAATAAAATAGAACCGAAGAGAAAAGACGCTGAGAAGGATGATTTAACGTTCACGTGGGACGCAGAAAGGGTTTAGAAAATGAATTTACGTAGCATCTAAGGAAGCGCATCAAGGTAAATCCCGTTTTTTTATTCTACTTCCTCTCACCATCATCCGCAGCGGGTGAAATACCGTAAAACAAATTCCAGTTTATTATTAATTTTTTATCGTGTGCAAGTGTTTTTTTCATGCCAAACAAAGAACGAAAGAAGAAAGAAAATATTCTTTCTCGTTGTACAAATATTACTCAGTGGTACTTTATATTGAGTCAAAGCCGGAATAAAATAGAATCGTATTAGTCAACATTTCATTGACCATCTAGAAAAGGAAGTGACGTGAGAATCGAATTTATAATTATTCCGTTTGCAAAGTATTTAAAAGTCAAAATAAGCCGAAATACCTTATTCGCTCTTCAGTCAGTTTCGCCTGCGTAAAATGTATGGAAAGACCATCATGAATATCACTGGCAAATTAGTGTCTTCTTCAGTGAGACATTATCTTAGTACAGCAAAGCTATACTACGAATCGTACGATGAGCCGAGATTTCAACCGGGTACAAAATTATTCAATGAAGTACTTGAAATTGTTTCATTTACCTATCAAAATCCATATGAAACTATTCTCCACACGGTACGTGGAAGTAATACATTGTATGTACTTCGTAATGAAGCACAAAGTGGCCCCATAGCTTGCTGTAGCTTCATTCAGTATGGACAAGAATTAACTCTTAATGATAATGATCGAACAATTCCGGTTGTCTACCATAATTTAGCAATATCAAATGAAAAGGTAAAAAATACAGGTTTAATAAAGAAATTATTTGAATACTTTTATTGTGAACTGCAAAAACGAAAACAAAGACAACCACAACTGCCTATACTACTCTACTATGTAACACCAACACCATCTATAGTCTATCTGGCAGATCAAATTATTTTAAATACTGTTCCATCACTCAATGATTATAATGGTGCGATGTTTACCGACCAAGAATGGCAAATAGCTAATGAACTTAGAAAACTAAGAAATTGGCCTATAGCTGTTAAATCTTCGAATGAAAATCCATTTGTTTTGAAAGGTATAATGCGATCGCGTTATACGGCAAATGAACGATTGAGAATTGAGAAGACTGTGAAGAAGACCAATTTTAAAGTTTTTGAAGATTTAAGTATTGATGAAAGCAATGGTGATCGACTGTTGAGATTTGTTTTCATTTAACCGAATGATGTATTACGCGCGATTTTCGTGCGTGATAGTTATTCTTTATTATATCAGTTGCAGTGTGCAACACATCCTGACTACTTAATACATAAACCACTTTTGTAATTTAATGGCGTCGTGGTACTTTAACTTTGAGACCAGATTTTTTCGATTGCTAGTGGAAATCAATGCTGTCGCCATCCTCATGATTAGTCCAGTCTCTCACTGCTATCTTGAATGCGTAATAAAATATTTGAATACTTGACTAAAAGTATGGCGATTGGCAAACTTTTTGGGAGACAATGAAAAGAACAAGAAAATATGTCAAATCTATGTCAATCTCCTCTAATTACTTTAAAATAGTTACAATCTTAAACAGTCTTCACAAATCTAAAAATACAATCAACTTTTTCTCCCTTGAAAGATTATCTTTCTTCGTTGATCGAAAAATACTAACGACTAACTTAAGTTGCGTTTCTCGTAAACTATAGCTTGTACATTCAGTTGAAATGAACAAAACATTGATATTTATAATAAGTACAGACCTGCTCACTTGTTTGAAATTCCCCGCGAATAATTGTCGACTTGGAATTTTGTTAATGAATAGTTATTCGATTATGTTTTGATCGTGGATGAATAAGTTTTTTCTTCCTTCAAATAATCAAAGCGATAAGGATATGTGCTTCTGTTGACAATATCCATCGTGTTCTGTTGATTTGCACTTTCGTGTTTGAAGCAGTTGTAGTCGTTACAGCACAAAAATAAAATTGTATTTTTCGTCTATAGTATGTAGTCGACCTTGTTCCGTTATAAGTTATGATGGCACTTTATCGTTATAGGATAGCTACTGTGCCAAATAACAGAACGCTTTCGTGTTACCCTAGTGTATATAAGAAGTAATGAAGATATTACTTATTATTTGAAAAATAACTATAATATACCACTTCTTTTCATAATAAGTAGCACATGATTTTATTCGGATAAACCTAGAACTAATTGTCGAACATTCGTGTTCATTTCGTCTTTTGTTAAGCTCGTAAGAAGTATTAGGAACTGATCCTGTTATCAAAATAAAATGGATCAGGCGTTCTTTGTCGTTTCTATAGGGTTCAACCATTACAGCTGTGTTTTAGAGTAAACTTGCGTTACAAACCAACCGTTAACCAAACACCAAACACAAATCACAACAAAAAAATATACATTGAAGGATAACATCGAGTCAGAGGGCAACTTTGTCATTTAGTACAGCAACAAAATTGGCTCCTGAGAAACGATAAAGAGTTTTGCTATCTGTCCATTTACACGAAACTATCGTAATTATCCCGTGAAAAATAGTTGTGATCAGAATTATCTCAAAAAAGCAAAATGAAAAAAAATGAATATTATTCACATAAAAAAGATTCTTCATCCTGCAGTGCAAATGCAGTACCGAGCTACTGCTCTTCTAGTTTCTGGAGTTAATCATTTGTCTAGTAGGGAGAAGGCCCTGGAGAGATATTAGGTTGGTCGGATATTTAGATACTTTATGTTCATAAGTTGCTTTTCAGAACATAGGTGCTCTCAATAAAGTGTTTTGCCTCTAGTTTTTTTAACAAAACACTTTCAAAAAGAGTTATTGCAGGCTTAGTACTTTTTTGAATGCTCTTTCGAATGACATATAAACACATAGCAAATCAAGCTTATTTTTTGGGGACGGTTTAGCGAAAAACAACATACATATTCTGATTCCTTTCTGCATGCAGATTCCAAATCCGACGTTTGTTTTCTGGTGGAACGTCTAGTTTTTGAAAAAGAAGCGAGAAATCGTTTTTATGTTTGAAATTAGGTATTTTTCGCGTGAGGGGTATATCCGCACCACTTTTAGTTCGTGACTCTAGCAGCTCCCTCATCTATGGGGATGAGGAAGCTTCTCGATTAGCGAATGCAAGAGATCTAAGTCATCTAGTGATTTCCTTGGCCGGAATGAAATCATGATAATGGTA